CATCCTGCCGTCTCATCCACCAATTGATCTATATTGGGTAGTGGAAAACGGTCCATAGGGCATGCCCTATTGAGGTCCGTGTAGTCCACGCACATCCTCCATGTCGATCCTTTGGGAGCTAAGACTACGTTGCTCAGCCACTGTGGGTAGTAAATTTCCTTGATGTGCCCTACGTTGAGTAATGCGGTCACCTCCTTTTTCACGAACTCTCTTCGTTCTGCCGACATATACCTTTTTCGCTGATGCACTGGTTTTCTGCTGGGGTCGACCGCGAGCTTGTGGGTTATGATCCTTCGATCTATGCCCGGCATGTCCTCTGGCCCCCACGCGAACACCGTGTGAGAACGGCGAATTACATCCACTATTTGGGCCCTTAGCTCTGGGCTTAAGCCTGTGCCGATCTTCACCACTCGGTCTGGTCTGGAGGGATCGAGAACTATGTCTTCTGTCTCTGACACGGGCTCGGCGCGGGGCCAGGCCTCTTCTTCTTTGAAAATTTTCTCCGCGATCGTGTGGACCTGTAAGTCCTTGCTGCCGATCTTCTTGCACGCCTTCACGTAGCAACTCCGGGCTGCCCGTTGGTCGCCTCTGACGACTCCTATTCCATTCGGAGTGGGGAACTTCATACACAGGTGTTCCACAGATATTATGGCCTTGAGGTCCTCTAGTGCTGGCCTTCCCAGTATGATGTTGTGGGCACAAGTGAGCCTTACCACGATGAACTCCATGTCCAGCTTGCGAGCGTTGGGGCTCGTGCCTATCTCCACGGGCAGGGTCACCGACCCTTCTGTTTCCACCGAATCCCCAGTAAACCCAGAGAGTGGAGTTCGTACCTCTTTGAGCTGGCCTCTAGGTAACCCTAACTTAGTGAAGGCGTCGTAGTACATCACGTTAACCGAGCTTCCCGTGTCGACCAAGATGCGATGTACGATCGTATCATTGATGTCCATCTTAATCACCAGTGCGTCGCGATGGGGTAAGGGGCCCTCGGGGAGGTCCTCGTCAGAGAAAGTGATGGCCTCCCGCCTCTGCTTCTTCCCTTTGGGAAGACTCACCACTTCTCCTACGTACAGCTGCCTGCTCCACTTCTTCCTCTCTGTGGGTGTGTCGCCGCCAGCTGGTCCACCGTAGATGAAATGTATGGTGTGTTTCTTTTGTCGTCTGGGCGCCATCTCGGTTTCCTTCTCGCTGTCATCCTCCTCCGATATCTGGTCGTGCTCCCTTTTCTTGGCGTTCGAGGTGGATGGCTCGGCCCCATCCCCCTTCCTCCAGACATTCTTTGGTGGATTTTTTGATGGATCGTGCTGCGGCTGTTGCTGCTGCCTGGATCGCTTGACAAAATGCCGGAAGTAGCCCTGCTGGATGAGTTCTTCTATCTGTCTCCTTAGCACATTACATTCGTCCGTGTCATGCCCGGGTTGCCTATGGAACCTGCAGTACTTTGCTTGGTCCCCTTTCGGGGAGACCTTCATGCATTCCGGTGGGAACTCGACTATTCCCATCTCCTCAGCCTGTTTTAGGATGACACTGACGGGATGGGTAAGTGGAGTTAGGTTACGCAAGGGAACCAGGCGAGGCCGTTCATGGTCCCGGCCTTTCCCTGCAGCCGGGTGGTTCGAACGTGGCGCTTGGCTGGGCAGACCAGCTTTCCCAGGTTTTCCATTTTTCCTGCCGTCCTCCTCATCTTTCTTTTTCCTATCGACGTCCTCTGCCTCGGCATAGCGGCTAGCCGTCCTCATCAAATCTTCGTAAGAACGGGGGTGGTGGGCGTTTAGCTGCTTGTGAAAATACCCCGATCTCAAGGCATGGATGAATATCGGGATCGCCGCCTTGGAGTCGAAATCGTAGACATTGTTGACTTCCTTTTTCCACTTGATTAGGAAGTCTTTGAGGCTCTCGCCTCTATCTTGCTTTACTACACAGAGGTGAGAGAATGGTTTCTTACGCTGTATGCTACCGGAGAAGTATGTTAGGAAGCTTTTTGACAACTCCCCAAAATTTTGGATCGACCCGTCCGGGATGGTGTTGAACCAATCTTGGGCCGTTCCATCCAGGGTGGACAAGAACGCTCGGCACATGATGGCGTCCCCCGCCCCGATCATTACCATGGCAGCCTTGTACCTAGTCATGTGGACCCGTGGGTCAGTGGCTCCGGTGTACGCCTTGATGGCAGGTAACCTGAAGTCCCTCGGCAGGGGTACGTCCATGATGCTTGGGGAGAACGGTGCTGCCATCCGTACCTCAGGTTCCGGCGACTGTTCCCGTGCCTCCACCCTTCTTGCTAACTCCTCGATCCTTCTCTGCAGCTTTTCGACCAGGGCCGGCTTGTCAAGGTGTCGGCGCGGAGCCGGCTGCCGCTCCTCCTTGTGTCGTGGGGCTGGTTCCTCGACGTTTCGTCCATCCAAGTGTCGGTGTGGAACCTGCTCATTAACGCGTCGTTCGCCTGCTGAGTGCCGACGCGGAGCCGGCTCATCGCGTCGCTCCGCCGAGTGCCGACGCGGAGCCGGCTCATCGCGTCGCTCCGCCGAGTGCCGACGCGGGGCCGGTTCGTCGAAGCGTCGCTCATCCGAGTGTCGACGCAGAGCCGACTCGTCATCGTGTCGGCGCGGGGCCGGCGCACGAGACTCGCCCATCCTTTCTACGGGCGATCTCTCAGCTTCCCTTTCCTCGTGTCGGCGAGGGCCTCTAGCGGAGGACCCCCCGGCACGCGACTCCGGCCTTTGCCGAGCGGGAGCCCCGTGTCCCAACCGTTCCAAGGCAGAGCGGGAGGGCCTAGGTTGTCGTCCCGCCGGTCCGCTCCTAGTGCGACGCCCTGCGTCCCTCGCGGCACGTGCTGCGTCCTGGGCGTCCACCCTCCGCGGGGATTCCACCTCTATTTCCTGAGGCGGGGGCGCTTGGCCTTGCAGTCCCATCGCCACTTGGTTCAGTGCCGCCGCCACTGCCTGCTGAATGGTCGCTTGGAGGTTCACGACTTGGTTCGCCCCTCCATTGTTGGGCTGATCTCGGAGGTCACCTCCATTGTTGAGTTGGTCTCGGAGGTCACCTCCGTTGTTGAGTTGGTCTCGAAGGTCCCCGGGCCTCCCGTTGTTGAGATGTTCTCGGAGGTCCCCTCCACGATTGTTGGTGAGTAGGTCACGGAGGTCACCTGAGGCGTTTCCATTGTTCACGTTGCGAGAACCGTGGGAGCTGCGGGACGCCATTCTCTCAAGCTTGTTGTTGAAAGAGAAAGGGAGTTGTGTTGTAGCCTGCTTGAGTATTGGATTCAGGCTCTCAACGAGAGCACCAATGACGGTAATAACGTTACCGGTAAATAATAATAACGATAATCTAATAGCGATGTGTCAGAGAGACAATAGTGGTATTGCTCTAGTTCTTAGTATAGAAAGTACAGTGTGTCTTTGCTAGCTGAGGAGATCCCTATTTATACTTAGAGTCCCAACGGTAACAACACGGACATAAATGAGGAGCCTGGTCTTTAAGTCTCTCTCATCAATGGGGGCTTCAATGCTGTCTTCAATGTCAGTAAAGGTGGCACCTGTTGGAATTCCTGACCGTTGGAGTTTCTATCCGTTGGGTTCCCATGTGACGCTGAGTCAAGAGTCCATGCCCATTTGTGATCCGGGTCGGGTGCCAGCCTATTATCCTGTCACTTTTGGTTTTACTTTCCTCACTTCTCCCAACTCTTTTTGCTAAGAATGAAAAGAAATTCTGCCAACATCTTCCGTAAATTCGTACGGAGTGCTCAACCTTTATTCTTGTTCGCCGGACCTTTCATTTGAGTGCTCAAACTTAAGGTCGTAGTCTGTTTTATCCTGGGAGACTGACGCTACAACACTCCTAACACTTTCGAGAGGTGACGAATCGGTTTTAAAATTGTTGGTATTGGTGAATAAATCGGTACACAAAATATGTATCGATTTATTCACCAATACCAACAAATATGACTAGTCGTTCAGGGAGAGCAAAAGTCCTATTAGATAGCTACAACACGTCGGCAAATTATGCTGTGGATCTGTATGCACCATGCATGGTGCATACAGATCCACACGACGTCGTTTTAGCCTAATGACGCGGTGTTTTATAAAAAAAAAAATTTCCGTTAACGGCGTTTACTTCCTTTTTGAGTTTGTTTCCAAGTTTCAAACTCAATCGATATCACCGAAATTGGCATTCGATATCACCGGAATCGCGATCGCAATCTCAATCGCAATCGCAAATCGAAATCGGAGTGGGGATCGAGAATTACAAAGTGATTGGTAGATGGAGGATGGAACAGAGCAGACGAATTCCGCAGTTGGTGATTGGCATTCGATTCAAGGTGATCTTGTTATTGTTTTTGCAATTGTTCCTTTTGGTTTTTTGTATGATTATGTGATTAGCAGTGATGTTTGTGTCTAGAATCTGCAAATAGTTGTGCAAAATCACGTAAGTAATTTCCATAATTGTATAACAATAATTCCAGAATTTGAAAACAATAATTCCATAATTTCATAACTATATTTCCAGAATTGCATGTCTATATATTCAGAATTAGCGGGGTACTCTGTTTTGACAGTTTGTTGCGACTGTGTATCCAGAACTGTATAACTATATTTCCATAATCATATAACTATATATACAGAATATGTAGGCACTATGTTTTTGCTGTTTGATGAACTGTTTGAAGTAATGTTCACCATGTCTATATAATGTAGTTAGTGAAAGCATTGTGGATGGTTCAGTGAGTTCAGATCAAGTAGATGTAGATGTTGATGGATCTTCATCAATTCCAGGTTTATTCATAGTGGTTTACCTTTTAATTAGCAAATTCTGGTTAGGAATTATATGTTAATGGAAATGGTTATTATTGTGTTATATTTGCAGTTGATCAAGATTTGGTTGGTTTGGTAGTAAGTAATGCTGATGAGGCTTTTGAGGTGTATAACAGTTATGCATATATACTTGGTTTTAGTGTGAGGAAGGGTCATTAACGATACAAGGGATCTACGAACACAATTCAAATGAAGAAATTTTGTTGTTCTAAGGCTGGTTATAAGGCAAACAGTGGGGTTAAGGCTTATTCCAAAATTGACACAAGGACAGGGTGTGGAGCGTTTGTTCAATTTGACGTGGGTGATGATGGGTTGTGGACAGTTACAAAACATGAGAAAGTGCACAATCACGAGTTATGTGTGTTCAACAAGAGTCATATACTTCGTTCACATAGGAGTGTCGGAGATAATCAGCTCTTATATTTACAAGGTTTGAAAGACAGTGGTGTTGCATTGGCAGATGGTATTAGGTTCCTAAAACACCAATCAGGGGGGTCCCCTTTAGTTGGTTTCACCAGTAGAGATGCTTATAATTCAATGGCTGCGGATACCGTCAAGTGATTGGATGGAATGGATTCTAACTCTTTAATTGAAATTTTTAGGAGGAGGCAGTCTACCGAAACTGATTTTTTCTTTGATTTTGAACTTGATTTGGATGCAAGGTTGTGCAGTTATTTTTGGAGGGATGGTCATATGAGACGAGATTATGAGGTGTTTGGGGACTTGTTAGTGCATGATACGACATATCGCACAAACAAATACGATATGATTTGTGGCTCTTTCGTAGGGATGAATCACCATTGCATGATTGTAATGTTTGGATGCGGGTTTTTGATGAATGAGAGGATAGAATCGTTTGTGTGGTTGTTTAAAGCATTTTCAAGATCAATGGGTGGCAAGTCTCCACAGACTATTATGACAGATCAATATGCAGCTATGGCTGCTGCTATATCTAAAGTGTTTCCAACATCACGTCATCGTCTTTGCATATGGCATATTGGTGAGAATTCAAAGAAGCATATCAAGACATTAAGGAACAATAAGGATTTCTTGAATATGTTTAACTACGTGTTGAAATACACAGAGACCGAAGCTGAATTTCAATTCTATTGGACAAGGTATGTTAGTAATTAATCATTTTTATTGCATTACGTTTCATATGCATATGAATTATGGATGTATAGTATAGTAATTATGGATGTATAGCAGGTGAACTGACTGGTGGTCACTGGAAATGTAGTCTATGGATTATGGATGTATAGTGCATCAATTATGGATATATAGTATTTCGATTATGGATATATAGCAGTTGAACTTTACTGGTGGTGCCTGGAAGTGTAGTATATGGATTATGGATATATAGTATTCCGACTATGGATATATAGTATATCGATTATGGATATATAGCAGTTGAACTTACTAGTGGTGTCTGGAAATGTAGTAGTATGGATTATGGATATATAGTCTATCAATTATGGACATATAGTATTCCAATTATGTATATACAGCAGTAGAAATTCTGAGCATGTGTTAGATGTGGTGATGCTGCTTGTTAATATTCTGCTTCATAAACATTTGGGATTTTGTCTTACCATTTTCAGGTTGGTGACTGACTATAAATGTCACAAGAATACTTGGTTAGAAAAGCTATATGATTGTAGGGAGAAGTGGTGTCCAGCATTTAACAAGGACTATTTTTCTGGGGGCATTCTATCATCACAAAGGAGTGAAACTACAAATCATTCGATTTCTAGAAGGTTGTCCAAGACAGCGGGTCTTTGTGATTTCTATTCATCGTTTGTAAGCGTAATTTCTGAATGGAGAAGTAAAGAGAACGGTGAAGACTTTCGGTGTGCTCAAGGGGTACCCGCTATGATGATGGAGCATGTGAAACTTCTTTCACATGCTAGAGAGGTATACACGATTGAGATATATTTTCTGTTTGAGGAACAATTCATGAAAGGCAGTGCGTGTCATCAAGAGATGGTGTTGAATGATGGCCGTCAACAGAAGTATCACGTGTGGCGGCCAGATATAGATATTATAAGGCATGAGGTTAGTTTTAACGCAGCCAACTTGGACATTTCTTGTAGTTGCAAGTTGATGTCTGAGTTGGGAATTCTATGTTGTCATTGTATATGCATTCTTCACGTACATTGTGTTTCTAGTATCCCCGACAAATATATACTTAAAAGATGGACTAAAAAGGTTATTGATGGTAGGAATGTCAACATTGATTCTATGGTTTATAATGTTGGTGTTCCTCCATCAATTTGGGTGTTCGATATTAGTAGAAAATTTCAAAGATTAGTTGTGTCTAGTCAAGATAGCAGCATAGCTAGGAAATTGTGTGACGAAGCTGTTGATGATGTAAAGAAAAAGGTTGAAGCCGAGATTGGGCATGTGCATATTGAAGAGTGTGGTGTTTCATCTTCAAGTGGTGGTGTTCAAAATCCTTCAAGTCGGAGATTGAAAGGTGAGCGTAACAAAAGGAGGAGTAGTGTTATTGAAAAGAAGTACAGTCTTGCAAGGGGGAGAAGGAGTGCTGCAAATAAAGCTGCATTGAGTACAAAGGGTGCTGTTCAGTCTTTGGTGTTGGAAAACATATCCAAGCTTGCTGGGGAGGGATACCTTGTACATCCAAGTTCTTCAAGTTCAGATTTTGTTCAGTTTAGTAAGGGTTTAGATGACAATGTAGGTGTAGATTGAGAATTACAAGTTGTTATCATTGATTTTATGCAATTATGGACTTTTAGTTTTGTAATTCTGGATATGTAGTTTTGCAATTATGGAACTATAGTTATGAAATTATGGAATTATAGTTATGTAATTATGGAATTGTCCTCATGCAATTATGAAAGGTATGCAATTATGAAATTATAGTCATGCAATTATGAAAATATAGTTATGCATTTATGCATGTGTAATCCCCATTGTGATGGAATTTGTAGCTATGAAATTGTGGTGTATAGTTATGCAAGTATGGATGTATAGCTTTGCAATTATGATATTATTGTTACACAATTATGGAACTATAGTTATGCAATTATGGAATTGGTTATATGCAATTATGGAATTATAATTATGAAATTATAGAATTATAGTTATGCAATTATGGAACTATAGTTATGCAATTATGGATTTATAGTAGTCATGCAATTATAGATTTGATACATGAAAACAAAAAAAAAAAAAAGTAAAGAAAAGAAAAGAAAAGAAAAGAGAAAGAGGCGCATAGATCAGATGTAAATTGTTATTCAGCTATTAACATAATGCATTCACATTCACAAAATACAAGTCACATTGTCAGTGTAGTTCACAAAAACTTTCTCATTGTTTAGAATTCAGTCAACATGTTGAAGAATATTCATTCAATTCTTCTTCGAAACTCTTTTGGCCGCTTGCAGAACCTCCCCCCTGACTTCATTCATTCTCCACTTTATGAGGTTGGCAGCATATTTCGCTCGCAGTTCACACATGAAGTTTGCCTATAAACAAAGAACATTAAGTAATTAGTCATTTGCAGTTTTATTTATTTTTTAATGTATTTTGAAACTATAATATGTATGGTAGTCTTACATTCAAGCGCATATTCTTCTTGAATCCTAGCTGCCAGTCTTGTAGAGTCTCTCGGAATGTCTCCATATGCCGGAGTACATAGATCCCGCAATCAGTGACGTTTTCAGTGTTTGCCCAGTCCAACTTAAGGTACTTTATATCAACTTTTTGCAATTTCACATACAAGGAGTGGCACTCGGCCTTAAGGTAACCACTGAATGCTTCAATCTGGTCAGAAAAGTTAGTTTAGTGTTAATAATGCTTTTAAGTCAATAGATAGATAATGGTAAGAATGTCAAGTTTTTTTTTTTTTAATCAATACCAATAAGTGTGGGCAGTTGCCATATTTGTCCTTCTCCGAAACATCAGCTGGTAACTCCTTGTTGTCAATGACCTGTACTTTATGTTCTTTCACATTGAAGCAGACCAAGAACTAGTGACCATGGCGATGAACTGCGAAAAATATCTAATTCCAATTCAAAGTTAAAGCAATGTTAGTATTTTTTTGGACATGATAAAGTCAAATTGGACATGGGTAATAGAACTTACCAGATCTGCATCACTGATGTCTAGGTTCTCGAAGCTGGTTATTTCATAGCTCAATCTCTCATTGAAATTCTTCATTTTTATGTGAGTTGGGAGATCCTTCATCCACTGGTCATTGGGATCAATTTGAAGCTACACATACAAATGCAGGAATGAGTAGTCATAATCCAAATAATATTTGTTGAAAATGTTAAAATTATACATACAGAGTTATATATATACACTTCCAGAATTGTACAACTATAGTTCCATAATTGCATAACTATAATTCCATAATTTCATATCAATAATTCCATAATTGCATATCTACAATTCCATAATTGCATAACTATAGTTCTATAATTGCATAACTATAATTCCAGAATTACAAAACTATAAAACCAGGGGTTCACAGGTACACATCCAGAACTGAATAACTACATATCCATAATCTAAAAACTATATATTCATAATTTGTGAACACTTACATGTACTAGGGTGGAGAAGTAGACCCGCTTTGTCTCCCCAACCGCACGGGGCATGTTTAGCAATGTAAAACGTAGGGACCAGACATCTAGGAAGCTGCTCAGTAGCTCACCATTGCACATAGTTGCAAAATCGTCCCTTGACAAGTAGTAATCACCATATTTGAACAATGTCTCTTTACAATATACAGTAAATAAATAAATATAAGAACATAAATTAATGAATAAAATTTAAGTAAAATAGGTGGATGGAAACATACCCTCCCGGGTGCTCACTTGAGGCTTCCAAAAATGCGTAGTTTGAAAAAACCTTTTCTTTGGGAGTTGCATTATTGATGGAGCCTTTGTTCTTATTCCAATATGGTGACCTCAAATGAAGCGGGATGTTCCTGAATTTGCGCACATGTCTCTTTCTCACAGTAACATCCTCAACATCAGATTCACTTTCTTCCATAGCTCTGTTGTCCAGAAAAAAACAGAGGCAGTTCATAACCCCACAAGTATAATTCCAGAATTGTATAACTACATTTCCATAATCTATAAACTATATGTCCATAATTTGAGAAATACATATCCATAATTGTAAAGAAATCAATGTCAATAGTTGAATAAGAATATATTCATATTAATCAAACTTAATATTCATAATTATTGATGAATTGAAAACCATATTCATAGTCTAAATCTGCATAAGAAAGCAGTAACCTACTTATCAAATTCATCAATCTCAGCAGCAGCTTGGGCAGCAGGGGTAGTAGGAGTGGTGGATTTTTCGAATGGCACTCTGATTAGTAATGGAGTTGCTTCCTTCTCTGTTGAGGTTGATACTCCTGCACTCCTCACAATGTTATCCACCAAGGTGTCCAAAGGCTGCTGTTGAGATGGTGGTGGAGTTGGTGTAGAGCGTCCAAGTAGCTCAAACGATGGGACTTCTATTTCCATTTCTTTTCTTGTTTTTTTCAAAAGCTGCTACCAGAGAATCAACTGCTGATGTGAAGCTTTCACTTCCGAAGAAGATGTCATCCAATTGCGAGGCAGTTGGGCTAGGAGTCGGTTGAATTGTGCTTGCAGCACTCAGCATTGTTGATATTCCTGAAAAAGCCATCTTCATGATTTCAACCGGGGCCCCTTGCTTGCCAATGTCAGACATGACCTGACCGAACTCAAGGACATCTGCTGTAAGCCGTTGAAGCACATTTGTTACTCGGTCAACATTTGTCAGAGGCACAGATGGAGCTGGAATAGATGGTGTAGCAGCAGGGCTGGACACTGGCCTTGGTATTGCAGCAGGAGGAGGTGCAAGTCGGGGTGATGATGTAGATGCAATGGCAGTAGGTCTCTGAAATCGAGGGATAACTTTTCCCTTACCAAAACCCCCTGATTTTATCTCAGCCGATACTCGCTTGCGTACAAGGCTTTTTGTCAAAGCTTTTATTGCCGGGAATGTGCGGTTGACAGTCATGCCTCTGAACTCTACTCGGTCAAAGTAGAAGAGCTTCAAGAATTACAGAAGAGTATGTTAAGGAATTGAATAACTACATATTTAGAATTGTATGGATACACATTCTTATTTGCATAACTATAATTCCATAATTATAAAACTACATATCCAGAATTGCATAACTATAATTCCATAATTGCATAACTATAATTCCATAATTGGATGACTATAATTCCATAATCCATAAACTACACATCTGTAATTGAATAACTATAATTCCATAATTGTAAAACTATTATTCCATAATTGGAAAACCACAATTCCACAATTACAAAACTACACATCCATAAGGGCATAACCACACATACAGAATTGCATATCTATGATTCCATAATTGCATGAATATAATTCCATAATTACAAAACCACACATTCATAATTGTAAAACAATAATTCCATAATTTCAAAACCATAATTCCATAAATACAAAACTACACATCCATAGGTGCATAACCACACATCCAAAATTGAATATCTACAATTACATAATTGCATAAATATAATTCCATAATTAGAACATTTTATGTATAATGGGATCTTACCAGGATGAATACCATTGGACCTCCAAAGGATCTGGTAGGAGAGTCTTTGTAAATGTCATACGAATCAATTAAAGACTTGTACGTGTACTTGCACCAATTAAGTATTGAGATTGCCCGGATGTTGAGCAATGACTTGATAACTCGATAGTTGGCATATCTTCCAGTATTTCCCCAGAGCAGAGATGAGACAGCAAACACCACAAAGTCTCTCTTGAAGGCATCTCCATGGTCACCTCTCCTGATTATTTCATCAGGCATCTTTGTTGTTATGGGTGACCCTGACTTGACATTCCATCTTTTCCTCCACTCAGTCAGGACCTTATTATATGCAGCTGTAGAATTTTCCTCACTCTTTGTACCTTCCTCAACATCTCTCTTCCCCCGGGGGAGTCCCAAGATGTATTCAACATCCTCTTCACCGACATGTAGATGGTCACCATCCAATATGAAGTCTGATTTGAAAACATCAAACCTTTGCAGAAGATACTCAACAAGTTGTGAGTAATTGCTTGAGAATTGTAGGTGCAGCAGCCCTCCAAAACCCATATCAATCACAACATCCTTTTGGTCCTGTGTTAGACGCTGGACAAGATCATACATTTGCTTGGGACCCATTCGTGTACTGAAGTAATTCACATCAGGGTCCCGTACTTTCTCTCGCTTTTGTGGTGGTGCCCTCTTTCTTTTCACAGCTGCTGGTTGTTGCCTTGTCGAAGGCTCTGCTTGATCTTCCTGGGCAGGGGTGAGTTGAGCAGCTTGTGAGCTCAATACTGCTCTGGTTGTTCTCTTTTTTACAGACTTCACAAATTGACCAAGCGTAGCGTCATCTGCCACACCTGACTTATCCATTTCTGCAAATAAAAAACATCAAGTGAGGTTAACAGAGTACTATATCCAAAACTTCATAACTACAATTCCATAAACACACAACTATACTTCCAGAATTGTAAAACTGCAATTCCATAATCTCATAAGTATACCACAAGGCAAGTTATGCTAAAAAGGATTTGAATGCAATTTGGTGCACAGAGTAAGGTTCACAGAGTAATACATCCAAAACTGTATAACTATAATTCCATAAACGCACAATTATACTTCC